GGGGGTACGGTCGATTTTTAACGATTGTCACTGTCAGGAACACTGTCGATGCCACGTTTTCAATATCTTTGGGAGTATGTTCTGAGGCGTTTAGAGCAGACATACAATGGTTTGAGTCCAGTTATGTTGTTTTGCTAGTTGATAAATCATAGCATGCTTATTAGAAGGACTACCCGATACCGTCCTATTCACTCGTTGCAGCGCCTATGCATATACTTAAACACCAGAAGTTTATCATATTCTGTTTGATCAGCGCTACAGGTTTTCTCGCCGTCTTTATTATGTGATATTAATTTCGAGTGTCCGAGACGGTGCATGGAATTCTACATCATACTCTCAACTCTCATCACGTTCTCCTGTAAGTCCTTGGCATGCGGCGCTTCGTCATATCCTGTAGAACTATCATAAATACGCCGGTGTCTCCATCACCTTTATTGAGTTAACGATGCTCTATTACAGTCCTGAAGGATGGTAATTAACACGTGGGTCTTAACTGGAGCACCGTCGGGGGTTCGCCAACTGTACTGCAAGGGTTTTGACTATGGGATATCGTCAATCAAGACTTCATTTTGCCACCGATCTAACGAGTGACTGCCGAACAATTCCCATCACTTTGCTATTGCTTCAATAACACTGCGAACGCCACACATTCGATACGCCGAAGCCACACGTCCAGCGGTATTTTCCACATAGCCCCACGTGTTAATTACCATCCTTCAGGACTGTACCGTGCTATATGATTTATAGTTCGCTTCTGATTGCTGTCACGACCAGTATAATTAGTGCATGTTTTCGTCGCAGGCTATCTATAAAAGGCTTGCGGCGGTACCAAGTTGGCGATACTGTCTTACAGCAGGGATTTGCTGCTCGTTAGTAGTCCTCCGACGGTCCACGGATATGATATTGTTAGTGACACCAATTTTTCCAAACGCCCCTGTCATTCGCGAAGCACTTGCGTATGCTTGAGAACATAGTGGAATGAAATATGTGAGCTCGTAACATTACAAGCATTGAAGATGTAGTACAATGAACTTGGACTATATTAAGATGACTTCCGTATTGATTATTTTAACATTTTATTTATACGCCTACTCACACAGTTCTCTCATCGATTTGGCTTACAAGAGTTATATTCCATCTGATTTGATTCGAGGAAGTTGGTGTCTTTTGCATCTGGTCGCCATTACTACCTGGTAGCGACGAAACCGTGCAAATACAGTAAGTCACCTCAAATCGTACTGTACATACACACCCCTGGATTTCGTCATGGTCGAACTCTTTCTTCTATTTTTGTTTCGATAGCGCCCGTCAAAATTGGCGGTTCGCAATCCATTAAGCGCAGCGAGCAGCTCAAGAACGGTGGATGGATTGAATGTGACACGTACCATTTGGGGCAACAGCTAAGAGGGGCAGCAAAAATATGTCGTCTTTTCTCGAACGAGCGACCTCCAATACGCGCCTCCAGCTCGCGGCGACAGCCGTCGCATCTGGCGCAGTTGTCGCAGGCACGATATTCGGACTCCAGCGCCTTCGCCGCGAAGAGCGCATACACGACCTTAAGAGCTCGATCCCCTCGCCAGCCGATGAAGGCGATGCCTTAAGGAAGGTGCGTAAAGCCAGAGACCCCCAACCCCCAGCCTGCTGATAGAATGCCCCTGCTAACCGGCGCAATGCAGCTTAATAGCTTCGGCGGCTCTTCAACAGCCGACAAAGAAGATATCCGAAACGAGATCCTCGCGCGTCGCGCTCAAGCCGGCGACTACGACGATGAGCTTATCCTCGAGCAGCTCGCGCGAAACCGCGTCTTCCTTACCCCCGATGGCCTCGAGAAACTGCGCGGCGCATTCGTCGTAGTGGTCGGATGCGGAGGAGTCGGTTCGCACTGCACGGCGGCATTGGCACGGTCAGGTGTGTCGCGCATTCGGTTGATTGATTTCGACCAGGTGACGTTGAGCTCTCTGAACCGTCATGCCGTCGCGACGCTCGCCGACGTCGGGATACCCAAGGTCTCGTGTCTCCAGCGGCGCATGCTGGCCATCACGCCGTGGGTACACTTTGACTTGCGACAGGAGAAGTTCTGGGATCAAGTTGCCGCGCGCTTACTCGAGCCATGGAAAGAGACGGGGCAGAAGCCCGACTTCGTTGTTGATGCCATCGACAACATCGATACTAAAGTTGGACTGCTAAAATACTGCCACGATAACGAATTACCAGTAATTTCCGCTATGGGCGCGGGCTGTAAGAGCGACCCCACGCGCATCATAGTAGGGGATATCAGCCAAGGCACCGACGACAGATTATCCAGAGCCACGCGCAGACGTTTAAAACTTCAGGGCGTTGTATCTGGAATACCGACAGTCTACTCTACCGAGAAGACAGGCGAGGGTAAAGCCGAGCTTCTCCCCTTACCAGAGGACGAGTTCAAGAAAGGAAACGTGGGCGACCTAGGTGCCTTGCCTGATTTCCGAGTCAGGATATTACCAGTGTTGGGCACGATGCCCGCTGTTTTCGGATACACGGTAGCGAACCACATTATCCTCTCTATAACAGGTAGAATACTTCCTCTCTTATTCAGAATGTCCCATTTTCTAACAGGCGAATAGGTTACCCCACCGACTACCTCCCAGCAAAAGGTCGCGAAAAGCTCTATGACACCCTCCTCGCAACCGTCCAAGGCGGCGAGGAAAAAGTCCTCAGACGCCTCGTAGGAGGCGACGCATCGATAGGCGTGGGCTTCAAAACGCCCATAACGATAGGCGATATCGCCTTCCTCACCGAAGATATCTACCGCGGCCGTAGTGTAATTACCGGTCTCCCGACACGTCTTATTCTTACACGGTGGCGAAAACCAACGGCCTCCACGCTCGTCAAGATTGGCGAGGGTACGGACGAACAGAAGTCCTCGAATTTGAAATTGCGGGACCTTGTACTGATGACGAAGGAAGAAGGGAAGGAACATGATAAACTTGTCCTTGCTGGTGATAAACAGCCTGAGGAGGTGTATGACGAGGAGATTGTCAAGAGGGTGGAAAGAGCGCAGAGGGAGATCGCGGAGTTTGAGAGGTTTAGGTAGAATTGACTACACTATCTCTCAACAAATTCCTGTTCTGCTTGTGCAATGTGGCTATCTATGTTGACCTCTACAGATCAGCAGCCCCATCACACCTCGATGGTATCATGCATCCCCAGTAGGACCACTCTCCTAACCTTCTAACCTCCTTACTCCGCCGCTCACAATTTTAACCTCCCCTCCCTTCTAGCGCCCTCCCAAAGCGCAAAAGCGGCCAACGACTTGGAGTCCCTTCGTCCCTCCCACCACAAATCCCGCAACTTCACAAGCTTCAACGTAATTTTCTCACCCTCGTCTCTAAGACCAGTCAACTTCCCCGTCCACTCCTTCAGCGTGTCGCGCGGCACACGTCGCTCATGCATATAGATCGGTACGTATTCGTCGCAGCCGCCTGCCGATGGGTACATAGCTTGCGACAATCCTTCTTCTTCCGCGTCGTTGGGTTTCGATGAAGACGTAGGCGCGGCAAGATGAGAAAGACACGTAAGCTCAGAAGCCTTGATCTCGATGCCCAACTCCTCGTAGATCTCCTTCGCCGCAGCGCCGGCAAACTTGCCCTCTTCCTTGTCGTCAGGTCCTCCGTCGACCATCCCAGCGGGTAACTCGACGAACTCCAGACTTCCGGCCGGGACCCGTGCTTGCACAGTCAACAAGACGTATCGCTCATCGGTATCCTGCGGCGCATCTGCAGGGATCAGGATTACGAGCATGCCGACGCTAGGACCACGGAGGAATACACCGCCGGGTAGGTGCTCGCCGGCATTGTTTGAGATTTGGGCTTGTAGCTTGAGGAAGCCGACACGTGAACCGAAGAGGTCGAAGCTTTGGATGCTTATGGAGTGGAGTTTGTAGGGATCTGTGTGGAAGGGGTGTGAAGGGTTGGTGCTTTGGAGGGATAGGGAGTGGGTTAGTTGATTGAGCCAGTTCTGTGTACTTTGTTAGCTACATGTAGGTTTCGAACAGAAATACGTGTGCTGGTGTCGGAGTACTCACGTTGAAGGGCTGGAATGAGCGGAGTTGGGCTTCTGAGAAGCCTTCTGGAATAGTCACGCTCACGTCGGGCGATTTGAGGGTTATTGTCGTCATGGCCGGTGAGTGTGCTTTGAGTGATCTGAGGGTTGTGGTTGTGGTGATCAGAGGTCGTGTTGAAGATGTGAATGCATATGATGTCGATAGTCGCGGCAGCTGTATCTTTGTGAGCGGCGCGAAGGCTGTACTAGACGTCAATGTTCTCGGTATGGTTGAGGCAGCAAGTAGAGGATTACGGCCCATATCTTATGAACGGTGTCCTCGCAAAAGCAGAACGATGTCCTCAATATTCATTACAGGCTGTTTGTTGACTTCAATGACGTCTGGGTGCAGAGGCGGTAAATTGTGGGGCTATCATGTGCCCAGTACCTCACAACTTCAACTTCAAGTTGGCGACCGAACAGTTGCCTCAATGTAGAGTGTTTGATTAGTCTGAATGTTATTTAGCGGCTTATGATAGACCTGAATTATTGATCACAATAATTACAATTCGACGAATAACATCAGGTCGCGTTGCCGACCGTACTCATAATGTGTGTGATACAACATCTCTGCTCTTGATCCAGTGGGAGCCGTCTTCCTTCAGTAACCTAGCCATTTCCACCGCGGAGCTCACTGTTTGGTTCTCTGATTGCTTATGTTCGAAGTCTTGAATATTTCTCCCTGAAGTCCTGTTACAATTATGGTATAAGAATTTGGAGATATACTGCAATATAGGCCATGGGCAATTGAGTCGAGCGAAATGGAAGGGGATTTAGCAGTCGTTTGCCTTGCTGTTTAAAGAAGAGGTGCCTCGTATGTGGTAGAATTCTATTTCAGCAAGTGGCCGTACGAAAAAACAGGCCGACGGAATCGTATGACCAAAAGTGTGAACCAGATTGTGAAAACTGCAAAAGATAAACTCCGAATCGGGGAATCGAACCCCGAGCCGTACGGATGTCTACTCAGAATGCTCTGAATGATTGAAAACGTACAATGTTAACCGTTACACCAATTCGGATTGACTTGTTATTGTTGAGAGATCGTTTGGATTTTGGGGTTATGTTCTGAGGCTTAAAGTGGGCTGTCGGGAGAAGTTCGGCCTTTGGGACCCAGCCCTCGCCAGTGTGATACAGTGTCGCCCAGATACCATACTGTAGTGCGCCGTGACACAGTAATAATATGTTTGAGACACTCTCTAGTCAGTGTCTGATAGAGCCATGAAGGGGCAATTCTTCGCTTTGTCACTAACCTCCTTATGATATGGTAGCATTCGAATGTGTACATTGACTAATAATACTGTAGGTATCTACTGTAGAATCTTTAAACAACCATATGCTGACATGGTCAAATTGTAGCCTACTTGCCACTTGTTGTGTCGTCGTTATCTCACATATTTCCAGGTCACATCAGGATTCAAGAAACTGTACGAAAGACACCTACAATGAATATGAATATCATTATTGGTTTATAGATCAATTTCCTTGATCATTCGAGCTATTATCATTCATCGATCAGGGGCGCTCGTTGAGTGTTGACCGAAACATCGATATGATATATAAACTGACGCTCGATGCCCTCCGGGCATTGAATTCGAAGCTGTAGCCTAGCTACCCGCTAAGCTACTTTTTTGGCCAATCATTTGCTCCCCGCTACATTTCGCGCACGGCTTCGGAAAACGTGTTTTAATTGACTATATAGTTTCGAACCTGTTTTAAATTTAATATAATTAAAATCGTTCGATAAATCGCGTTTTACGTAATTTTTTAAAATACGTATATTAAAGCGTAATTACTACGGTTTGCCTCCGGCGAGCCAAAAGTCGAAAACTGCGGGGCGAATGCAGCTATATGATTGGGCGACGGAATTATGGCAGTACTATTTTATTAAAGAAGACTTAGGGCCAGTTCGTTTGCACGAAGCACTTCTTTGATTCTGGCCCGTGCTGACCCCGAAATAAGTGAAACTAGAATAATCGATTCTGGTGGAGATCTCCACCCAAACTAGACCGTATTTGTTCTCCCCAATTCATCGTCGCATTCGAGCCGAACTCTTATTGAACAGAGGTCGCGATAGCCTCATTTCCCTCGTACACAGAGGACAGCGCGTATAATATTCGGTAACGTTCGACAAAAGTACATATTACAGCACTCAATTGAGTGCATAACCCTTGTACTTTTGACACGGTGTACCATTCATTTTCGTGGTATGCGACAAAAATCTAAGTGAGCGCTGTATTATAGGGCATACGCCCTGTACTTATAGGGCCTTTAGGGCTCGAAGCGCTAAAAGTGTGTTAGAAGGTGCGCTGTAAATGTTTGAGCCATACCCAATTAAGATGGGAAAAGTGAGTTAACCCTCCTATTTTTCAGGTCAGGAAACTAGCCCCATTTGCAGCGGAATAAACGGCATCTATTAGTTCCGGCTGATGTTCAAGGGATAGGTCCCACAAGCAAAAATTAGCGCGATTATCCTATGCTGCAAGCCCCGAACGGTGATCATCGATAAGTGCTTTTCCAATAATCAGTGGGCCTGCTTCGTGCAAACGAACAGCCCCTTAGATCATATTGTATAAGTCCATATGAAACCACTCGATCCCCCTCACCCTGCGGTACCGTAGGGGACAACCATCTCTTCAACAATCACTCATTCAGGACTCTTGGATAGCCGTCCGAGTAGACGTCGGGCACGCCGCCCGGATCGACGTTCTACAGCACCGAAAACACAGCATAGTCGGGGTAGAGCCAATAAACAGGGACCGTTCATCAGGCTACCGTCTCAAGTGTCTAGTACGATACGCTGCACTTGGTTCCACGCCGGCTGGGTCTACCGATGCCGCTTCCCTGATCGACGGGAAGGATCTCGCGATGCTTTCTTTGTCGCGCTGTCGCCTCAACTCGTCTCATATCATTATCTGACCCTGCCCCTCCTTTCGCGCGTGTAAACAGCGTGTCATTAACGCCACCTGTGATCCCATTTCAGTTGGCTACGCTCGAGTGATACGAGAACGTTCTGGTGTTGCCCTGCAATCTGAATTTTTGACACTGATATTGTATTTCGATTAATACTGTCTGAAACTATTCAAAACCGTACGGTGCTTGTGGCGCTATCTGAAACAGAATAGGTAATTGTAGGGCATAGCATACACTTGCATGGATCGTCGCTTCTTTCGGCGCACCACTGGGCTTCTTACCTATACTTCGGTTCTTCTTCTTTTGTTTTTTTGTACTTTGATGCTGCAAGATGCGATCAAGAGTGTTGCTTGGGGTTTGGGTGGGTGTATACGGTAGATTTGCGGTTCACTGTGCATCGGCTACTCTAAATATTGCAAATGAGAGGCACGGGAACACGATCGTCATGAGTCAGATAGTGATACTGGACGATCTAGGTAGTCACTCATCTCACCAAAGTAGAATGAGTCGCAACACAGTCCCGGCAGTCTGTAACTATGAGCAGGGGGGGACAAGAGGCGACGTCAAGATGGAAACTTCCTATCCTCCAGAGTCCAGGCGAGCCAGGCGAGAGGGTGCCGATGAGGGCCGAGAGGCAGCGGACAAGGGCCGGCCAGACTACGGGGACTGGGCTGGGAGCAGGTGGGGGTGAGGTGATGGCTAGAGGCGTGGATTTACAGGCTGCATTGCGCAAGCTTCAACGGCTGTCCCCATCTCCAGACCCTGGAGGGAGCGCTGCAATTGGCGTGGGCAAAGGGACGCGAGGGACCGCAGCAGCGCTGTGTTACGTCGGCGGGTGCTAGCAGAGGCCTAGTCCGGGCCCGTGCCTCAATTCCATTGGTGCTGTCCGAAGCTGTCGTTGCCTCATTGCGCTCACTTGCAGCCAGCAGCGACTGTATCGGCCCAAGCACATCTGCATCCCGTGAATGTACCTTAAGTATTCCGTATTCCGTATTGGCAGAGCATTATCGTCAAACTCGTCACAAGCTGCGCCGGGTGGAGGTTTGTCGCCCGTCACCCAACGCACACTTGTCCACCGTCGCATATCCTACCTGTACACGACTCGTTCGCTCACCCATCTTCGAATGGGCAACATCTCTTAATAATCTGCCAGCGGACCCGACAGGTTGCACCATTAAGGTTGCCATTGACAGCTCCCGGCGTTAATCACGAGCATTTGCGCCGCCGTGGAACGTCCCGCGTGGTGTGAATATCCGACGCACTCCCTCGTTTCACCCACGCCATAACGATTGCGATTCTTCAGCCTTCGCCGATCACAAGCTCTCTTCCTCCACTCCCATCGACCACCGCCCGACGGAGCCGCGTGCAAATACCCAGACCGACCCAGTCTTCATCATGGCTGACTTTAGCCGGCCCTCGCTCGACCAGACATCTCCCCAAAACCCAGACTACGACCGCACCATGTCCCTCACCAATGCTCCTAGTCCGCCGCCCGAGAACGGTGCCCCTTTCGCCGCTGCCCATCGTCCAGAGACCGCCACGGAAAATACGACGGATGGTGCCCTACCCGATTCCAGCCCTACGGCGCCCTCCGCCGGCGCGAAGACAGACCTGTCCCCCCGCGCTCAGGAAGTCTTGGGTTCTGATGTACGGCTTTCGCCCATTGCGCATATTGGTCGGTGGTGGGGAAGTAGCTAATGACAGTTGTAGATTGGTGTCGCGACTATGCTTCATCGCTTAAAGCAAAGTATTGCCTCCGCAAAGGTAAATCTACTCCAAAGCCAAGCCTGTTCGTTATTCGTTACGTTCGCGATATCGGCGGATGTGGTTCCAGCTCCCGCTCTGGCAATGGTGGTAGAAGTGCCACTGACAAGATATGACAGGATTTTGCTGGGTTTCTAAAAGAGCGGTCGAAACTGGAAGAGGTTCACGCGAGAGGTTTGAAGAAGATGTGTATCCCGGTCCACCACCACGACCACCGACAAGGCACGTTTGCTAAGGCATACGACGAGATGCTACAAATCCATGAGCGCATGGCCGAAAATGGAACCCAGTTCGCTCTATCGCTGCACCATATGCAGGAGGACCTTCTCGAGGTGGCTAATGTGGCTGAGAAGCATCGGAAAGGTTGGAAGCAGAATGGTCTCGATGCGGAGCGGCGCCTGGCCGACCTTGAAACAGCCATGCGCAAGTCCAAGACCAAGTACGACTCGTTGGCTGAGGAATACGACAGAGTAAAAACGGGAGAGGCCAAACAAGGACCACGAGTGTTTGGTATTAAAGGGCCTAAGTCTGCCGCACAGCAGGAGGAAGACCTTTTGCGTAAGACACAGGCCGCCGACACAGACTACATGGGCAAAGTACAGAACTACCTGTCCGAAAAAGCTACCATGGAGGCCACTACCCGGCCCGAGGCGATCAGGGCTCTGCAAGACACGATAAGGGAGTGTGATGCTGGGACTACACTGCAGTTGCAGAAGTTTGGTAAGCAGCAAGCCGTGAATTCTTGCGTTACAGGTCCTTGGCTAATGAAAAGAGCAGCGTCGTTCAATGAAAAATTGTTATTGAGTAATGGTTTGGTCATCAGTCCCTTGAAGAATGCCACTGGTCCTGGCCAGTTCTCAAGGAGTTTGAAGGAGGTCATCCATGGCATAGACAATAGGAAAGACTTGGAGGATTATGTTACAAGTTGTTACACCAAATTGCCGCCGAAGCAGGCGGAACCGAAATATGAGCGCAATCCGGTATGTTTCCTACTCGTAGCTCCTACACTTTGATGATGAAAACTAATTTGACTAGGTTCTCAACCCGCAACAAAATGCAACCCTCAACCAGGCAACACAGATGGGCAGACCACCGTCTCAACAAGTGACTCCTGGCCAACTACTACCTCCTTTACAGACCCAGGTGCAACCCTCGGGACCACTGGGAAGGACAGGTACAGGCACTTTCGACACGGCATCTCCTATGGGTCAAAACAGTCCGGCTCAAAATTTCATTCCTCCCTCGATACCTGGTGCGCAGCGAACAAACTCAAACCTTGGACAGGGTCATGAGAGAAGCCATAGTCACGGTGCCATGCTAACTCAGTTTTCGGGCCAATCTACGC